AGCCAGGCACCAGTGGCTCATGCCTGTAATCCTAGCTACTCAGGAGGCTGAGATCTGAAGATCACAGTTCAAAGCCCACCAGGGTAAGAAAGGCCGTGAGACTCTTATCTCCAATAAACCACTAGAAAACTGGGAGTGGTGCTATGGCTCAAGTGGTAGAGTGCTCGCTTTGAGCTGAAGAGGGCAGGGACAGCGCCCAAGCCCAGAGTTCAAGCCCCAGGACTGACAAAAAACATAAATAAAAGATGATGTTAAGTGAAATGAACACCAAGATATGGACACAAGAAGTCTGTCTTTATTGTTATTGTTTTAAATGTGCCATGTGATTTTATTATTTGTTGTTGTTTCCTTTGTATGTTCCTACCCCTATGGCATATCCATGTACTTGATTTTTATACCTGGCATCTTGTATATACATATGTCTAATCTGGGGAGGGTAAGGGGAATAACAAAATGCTAAAACAAGGACACAGGATGACCCATTGCAACAAGGATACCGATAGGACAATATATTGGAAACAAACTTTACAACTTCAGGCAACCAGGTGGGGACAGTGGGAGGAGGTAGGTAGGAGTGTGGGAGGTAGGGGAAGGAAAGGGGGACAATAAGGAAGGGAAGGGGTAACAATGATCAATAAGTATGTACTCATTGCCTTCCTCATGCAACTGTAACCCCTCTGCACAACATCTTAACAACAACAACAAAAATCACCAAAAAAAAAAAAAAAAGACCAACAGCTGGGTGTTGGTGGCTCATTGTTGTAATCCTAGCTACTCAGCAGGCTGAGATCCAAGGATGATGGTTCAAAGCCAGCTCAAGCAGAAAAGCCCATGAGACTCATCTCCAATTGTGGAGTTGTCAGTCAAAGTGTTAGAGCACTAGCCTTGGGCACAAAAGCTCAGGGACAGTGCCCAGGCCCTGAGTTCAAGCTTCACCACTGACAGAAAAAAAAAAAAAGATCAACAACTTATGTCGTGGCTCTTATCTGTAATCCTAGCTACTGAGGAGGCTGAGATCTGAGGATCGCCTTTCAAAGCCAGACCAGGCAGGAAAGTCCTTGAGACTCTTTTTTTTTTGTCAGTCGTGGGGCTTGAACTCTGGGCCTGGGCACTGTCCCTCAGTTCTTCAGCAAAAGGTGAATGCTCTATCACTTGAGTCACAGCACCACTTCTGGTTTTCTTTGTTTTGTGTTTTTTTTTTTTGGGGGGGCGGGGGGCCGGTCGTGGGACCTGAACTCTGGGCCTGGGCACTGTCCCTCAGCTCTTCAGCTCAAGGCTAGCACTCTACCACTTGAGCCACAGCACCACTTCCAGCTTTTTTCTTTTTTGTTTATGTGGCACTGAGGAATTGAACCCAGGGCCTCAGGCATGCAAGGCGAGTGCTCTACTACTGAACCATCTTCCCAGCCCAGCACTTCTGGTTTTCTGAGTGGCTTATTGGAGATGAGAGTCTCACAGACTTTCCTGCCTAGGCTGGCTTTGAACGGTGATCCTCAGATATCAGCCTCCTTAGTAGCTAGGATTACAGGTGTGAGCCACTGTCACCCAGCCCTTGAGACTCTTATCTCCAATAAACTACCAGAAAACAGGAAGTGGCCCTGTGGCTCAAGTGGTAGAGTTCTTGCCTTGAGCTGAAGAGCTCAGGGACGGTGCCGAGGCCCAGAGTTCAAGCCCCATGACTGACAGAAGAGGAAGAAGAAGAGGATAACAAGAAGGAACAGGAGGAAGAGGAGGTATAGGAGAAGAAAGAGAAGGAAGAAGAGGAAGAGGAAAAGACAGACATAGTTCCCCTTCCAGATCAGTCCCTTCACTAAGGAAAGATATGTGAATGGCCCATTTCCTGTATTTCCAGATGGGTGTTAAGTTCATGGGTAAAAGATCTAGCAAACTATTTAATGCCCAAATTAGTAAGAAAGATATAGTCAAATGGAATAATGGACAGAAGAGGCAAATAGTGTTTTTTACAGATAAGGACAAAATGCTCTACTTTACTGATAATGAGGAAACAGCAAAGGCCACGTAGAATGCTAAATGCTATTCACATCTACTAGACTGACAGCAATGAAAAGGCCGGGCCACATTATATACTGGTGAGAACATAGGGTACTAGGAATTCTCATGCCATCTGATGAGAGTGCAGTTTGCTCTAATCGCTTTTGCTTTGAGATTCTCTTCTACTTCTCAGCATGTAATTTAGGGGAATCCTTGTGCTTGTGACTAGGAGCCATGTAGCAGAATGTTTCTAACAAAATCATTATACTAGCAAAAAAAATACAACCTAAATGTGCCTACTTATGGCATATAATCTGTGGTAGAATCATACAGTGGAACACAAACAGAGAATGAACTGTGACTATACACCCCCACAGCAAAGATGTAATGTTGAGGCACAGATGTAAGACAAATGAATACAGGCTGAAAATGCTCACTTATATAAAAGAGAAAATAGTATGCTATTTATCACCCATCCATAGTGGGTGATGATAAAAAGAAAAGAATGAATGACACAAGAGACAAGATCATGGTTATTTCTTCAATGAATAGATCTGCGAAAAGAAAACAGGAAGGCCAGGTGCTGGTGGCTAACACCTGTAATCCTAGCTACTAAGGAGGCTGAGATGTGAGGATCAATAGTTCAAAGCCATCCCAGGAAGGAAAGTCCTGGAGACTCTTATCTCCAATAAAACTACCAGCAATGCCAGGCGCCAGTGGCTCACACCTGTAAGCCTAGCTACTCAGGAGGCTGAGATCTGAGGATCACAGTTCAAAGCCAGCCCAGGCAGAAAAGTCCATGAGACTCTGCTCTCCAATAAAAACTACTAGAAAACTGGAAGTGGTGCTGTGGCTCAAGAGGTAGAGTGCACACCTTGAGCTGAAGAGTGCAGGGAGAGCATTCATGCCCCAGGACCTACAAAAACAAACAAACAAACAAAAAACTACCAGGAAACTGGAAGTGGTGCTGTGGCTCAAGTGGTAGAGTGTTCACGTTGAGCTGAAGAGCTGAGGGACAGTGCCCAGGCCCATAACTCAAGCCCCACGACTGACAAAAAAAGAAAAAAACCAACAAAACAAAACAAAACAGAAACTTTTTTAGCTGTTGATAATTTTCTATATATTAAACTAGATGATAAGTTCATGGGAATTTAATTTTTGTAAAAAATTATTGTTAGTATAAAGGTGATGTTCAGGGGGTTACAGTTACATAAAGTACATCTCTTTTTGGACACTTTTTGGACTCTTTTTTTTCCCCCCTCACTTTCTCCCAGTTTTTTCCCTCCCATCCCTTCCCACAGGTTGTATAGTTCATTTTTGACATAGTGTCCAGTGAGTACCATTGCTACATTTGTTCACCCTTTATCCCTCCATTTCTGTTTTGGAATTTAATTCTTTAAACAGTACCTATACATATATATATTTCATATACAAACTTCATAATATAAAAAGTAAGTAGAAGATTACATTAAATAAAAGGAGCAGGTCACAAAGAACCACATATTGTAGGATTCAACAGATATAAAATGTCTAGACTAGGAAAATCTATAGAAACAGAAAGTGGATTAGTGATTGCTTGGGCTGGAGAGATGAGAGAGAAATGCTAATGGATTTGGAGTTTCTCTTTGGGGTAAGACTATTCTAAAATTGATGTGGTGATGGTTGAGCAACTCTGTGAAAATCCTAAAATCCATGGGATTGTATGCTTCAAATGGGAAAATTGTATGTTATGTGAGTTACATCGCAACAAAGCTTTGATTAAAAAAAAAAACAGGTAGAGAAGTAGAGTACCTAGGAAGCTTTTTAATGAATGATTGGACAGCAAAGCTAACAAAGAGGAAAGATAATACCTGCTCACATTTTAGCATACACCCAGAATACCTAGAGGGTTTGATCAAACACAACTAGTGGACTCCACCCCCAGGTAAAGCTTTGCTTTCCTTTTCTTTTCTTTTTCTTTCTTTTTTTTTTTTGTGCCAGTCTTGGGGCTTGAACTCAGGGCCTGGGTGCTAATCCTGAACTTTTTTGCTCAAGGCTAGGGCTCTATCATTTGAGCCATAGCTCACGCTACTTCTGGCTTTTGGGTAGTTAATTGGAGGTAAGAGTCTCACACTTGGGGCTGGGAAGGTGGCTCAGTGGTAGAGCGCTTGCCTTGCATGCCTGAGGGCCTGGGTTTGATTCCTCAGCACCACATAAGCAAAAAGAAAAAAGCCAGAAGTGGCGCTGTGGCTCAAGTGGTAGAGCGCTAGCCTTGAGCTGAAGAGCTGAGGGACAGCGCCCAGGCCCAGAGTTCAGGCCCCACGACCGGACCCCCCCCCCCAAAAAAAAAAAAAAAGAAAAGAAAAAGAGTCTCACACTTTCCTGCCTGGACTGGCTTTGAACAGCAATCCTCAAATATCAGACTGAGTAGCTAGGGTTACAGGCATGAGCCAGCAGCACCTGGTTCATCAGGTTTTCTGATTCTGAAGGCCTGGTGTGGGGGTATGGCCAAGAATCTCCCTTTCATCACTAGTATCCAGATGGAGCTGATGCTGGCCCACATTGATAACATATATGTATGTCTAGTTGGATAAGCGGATGAGTGGATGAATGGGTGCAGGGGATGGTTGGTTGGTTGTCTGGGAGAGTAGAGGGACTGATGTTGAATGGTTGAATGGATGGATAAATGGACCAATAAATAGATGGATAACGAGTGGATGCATGGTGGATGGTAATTGGTTGGATGGATAGGGGAGGTGGTTCTGAGTGAAGGGGAGATGATGGGGTTGGAAAAAGCTGTAGTAAAGAGAAGGACTTGAAGTCAAGACCTAGTTTCAACTCGAGTTCACCACCTACCAGCTATGCAATATTTGGCAAGTGACATCTCCCTGAACTTTATTTTTCCTCATGTATGAAATGTGAGTAAATAATGTTCACAGATGTTCCCTAAGCTAATATCCTTGGAAGAGCTAAAGCAGAGTCTGGCATTCAGTGACGGCTTTCTCTTCTTTATTGAATCTGATTCTTACCATCATATATCACTGGGCTGTACTGTGTAGTTGAGACTAGAGGCTTGTAATTCAGGTCCATCTTGTTTCCATAGTGGCCCATGCTGACCTCGAATTGGATCAGACTCTTAAAGTTGGGCATCGTGGTACAGGAGAGGAAGACAACGCACAGCCCATACTTTTGGCGGCTCTGCTGTTTCTACAATAATAACCCCCACACATACATTGCCAAGTACATAAGCCAAGAAATGAACATGGTTATATTGACAGGAAGGGAGAGGAGTTACTTTCAAAATCCATCTGTGTTTCTCTTCAAGATGAGCTGAACCATCACTAAAACCCTCTCACCTAGCTACCCCCACCCAGCCAGATCTGGTACATTCCTTTCCTGAAACTGAGCATGAGGGTTTTCTCTTCTTGGCAAGGCTAGGCTCTGAGTTGGGCTCCTCTTTCCCCATTCTGAGTAGAGGTATCTCCTCCTCTTTGTTTAAAGCCTCTCCTTAGAAGAGGCAGTATGGACAGGGTGTGTAGCTGAGATCATCCCCTACCCCTCACCCAAACCCACATACAAGCCCACCCACATATATCAGTTCTTCATGGCTTTTCTCTTCAAACTCATCTTTCCAGTAAGGCTGCAGCTGCTCACTGCCCCAGGTTAAGATTATTCCCACCATACCTGCCACCTTCCTAGGCCCTCTGTCCACAATATCAGTCCCTCTCTCATTTCTGTTGTCAACTCTGCTCTGTTTTTTGCATTCTTTATCTGTTTACTAGTTCAAGTCTCACTTATCTTTAAAAAAATAACTCTCTTACTGGATTGTGTAGCTAATGCCTATAATCTCAGCTTCACTAAACACAAAAATTGAGAAAATTAAGTAATTATCCAAGGCTAACCTTTGGCAAAAGCTATGTGAGAACCCATCTCACCAAATAAGCCTGATATGGTAGTATGTGCTTATAATCCCAGCTTCACAGGAGACCACAGGTGGAGGATCAGGGACCAGGTAAGACCTTACATAAAAAAAATAAACTAAAAGGAGCTGTGGTTCAAATGGTAGAGGGTCAGCCTTGAGTGAAAAAAAATCGAGTGGGAATGCAAAGCCCTGAGTTTAATTTTAAAATAGAAAAAGCTAGAAATGCAGCTCAAATGGCAGAGCACTGTCTAGCAAATATTAAGGCTCTGAGTTCAAACTCTAGTACCAAATAAATAAATACTTTCCTCTCCCACATGAGATCCTATTTAGCTACCACTCAACCTCATTTCCTGTCACTTTTTTTTTCTTTCTTTTTTTTGTCTGTCAGTCGTGGGGCTTGAACTCTGGGCCTGGGCACTGTCCCTGAGCTCTTCAGCTCAGGGCAAGCACTGTACCATTTGAGCCACAGCACCATGACAGCAGGGGTTGGAATAACATGAAGGCCTCAGGAAGACCTTAATAAACACACAGGCATTGATGAAGCATCCTACACACCCAACAGCTTATTGCACCAAGATCTGCCTCTTGTAGAGTCAGATGTAAGGCAAGCAGAAGGACTCTATCCCTGCCACCCCATTACCTGTTTTCTGTGGTTACCTCTATCCTGACCACTTCCTGGGAGAGATCTTTTATTGTAGTATCTTGATGGGACGTGACTTGGGTGGTTAACTCCAGGAAGACTCGGCCTCGATAAGCCAAACCATCTTTAACAGTGTCAGGAATGCACTAGGACAACAGAGAGGAATATGGAGAGAAAGGAGAGTAGTCAAATATCCCAAAATTCCTCCACCGCAGCAAAGACAAGGTCATCCAGTGCCTGTCTGCTGGGGATTGCTCCAACCACAATCCCAGGGGAAAATTCCAGAGACCCCAGACTCCTCTATACTAGAAGTCCTTTAGCCCCTTACCCTTAGTACCCACTACTGATGATGCATTCTACCTGCTGACAACATGAAGGACTATTTTTTGCTGGTCCTGAGGTTTGAGCTCTGGGCCTGGGCACTGTCCCTAAGCTCCTTTTTGCTCAGGCTAGTGCTCTACCACTTTGAGCCACAGCACCCCTTCTGTCTTTTTCTGTGACTAATTGGAGATGTGTCTCAGACTTTCCTGCCCAGGCTGGCTTTGAACAGTCATCCTCAGATCTCAGCCCTTTGAGTAGCTAGGACTACAGGCGTGAGCCACTGGCACCCAATTCAATAAAGGACCTTTTCATTAGGGGATTGTGATAACAAGTGAGGGCCCTGGAGCCTGCGGACCATCTCCCCTCCTTGTCATCAGTGATTGGCTCAAGGAGAATACACATGATCAAGAGAGACCAATTACAGTGCTTCATTGGTTTGGTGACCAGGTTCCTAGTCCTGAACCTCACTAACCAAGTAGAGGAGGATGTAAAGAGCCCAGAACAGGAGATGGATCAGACTGAGAAAGCTTTCTACTTGTGATCCTCCAGGGCTTGATACCTGTAGCTCCTCTTTCTTACTCAGAATCCCTCCCTGCCTCATTCTTTAGATATTTAAGACTAGAAGTGTAGTTACACTGGGCTCTATGTAGTATCGTTTGTTTCTGAACTAAATGGTTCCAAGATACTTTTCTCTGTGGGGTTCAGTAGTCTGATCTCTATAACCTTTCAGTCCTTCTCAATCACCTACCAGCTGCTATGGATTATAGTTCTCAAATCCCTGATGCAGCTTTAATGAACTTTTGATTTGATGCCAGGCTTCTGAGAGCTATGTGTAAAATAAAAATGATTCTGACAGACAATTGGAGCTTGCCCATAAGTGCAAGAACATACAACTTTATGTAACATCAGTTTGTCTACCTAGAGTGTTTTAATTTTTTGTTGAATTGAGACAAGGTCTTGCTACATAGCTCAAACTGGCCTCAAACTCATAATCCTTCTGCCTCAGCCACCTGAGTACATTGGATTACATGTGTTTGTCACCACATCTGACTTGCTAAGATTTCTTTATACCTTAGTTTATATAATATAAACTCTTGCCTCCTCTGAGCTCCCTTCTTGATTCTAGAAGCTTCCAAAAGCAGCCTCCTGATAAATTATTTTGCAACTATTCCTCATAATATTTATTTTTTTAGCTGGTTTTTATAGATTCTTTTTCTTTTTTTGTAGTGCTGGAGTTTGAACTTAAGGACTTGAGATTCCTAAGCAGGTGTTCTACCATTTGAGCCACTCTGACAACCTCTTTTTGCATTGGTTTATAAGCTGCGGAACCAGGAAAGAATAAATGGAGCACTGTAGATAGTCACTAAAGAAGTAGTATTGAGATAAAAGGATTGTGTGTGTGTGTGTGTGTGTGTGTGTGTACACACACCAGTACTTGGGCTTGAACTCAGGGCCCAAGTGCTGTCCTGTAGTTTTTTTTTTTTTTTTTTGGGGGGGTCCGATCATGGGGCCTGAACTCTGGGCCTGGGTGCTGTCCCTCAGCTCTTCAGCTCAAGGCTAGCGCTCTACCACTTGAGCCACAGCACCACTTCAGGCTTTTTTCTTTTTGCTTATGTGGTGCTGAGGAATCGAACCCAGGGCCTCATGCATGCAAGGCAAGCACCCTACCACTGAGCCATCTTCCCAGCCCTGTCCTGTAGTTTTCTCTCTGAAAGCTATCACTTTGCCACTTGAACCATAGCTCCACTTAACAGCTTTTGGTAGTGAGCCAGAGGTAAGAGTCTCACGGACTTTCCTTCCAGGGCTGGCTTTGCACCTCTATCTTCAGATTTCAGCTACTTCAGATTATAGGCCACTGGTGCCTGGCTGAAGTAAGGTTTTTCACAGATGGAAAAGACATGGCCCAGGTACATGTAGTAAAGTGTGGGCTGCTTATTCACAGGTCTCCCATTCTCTACTGAATGTAATGGACAGAAACAAGGGCTGAGTCCTTCAGCAGCACTTCTCAGGAGCTACTGCTTTACAGAGGCTGTTTTGTTTGTTTGTTTGTTTTCTTTTTATCTCCACTCTCCCCTAGATGACATGAGAAGCTTACAGTGCCTTCTTCCTGGATCCTGAAGGGAGCCTTTTTACCCCCATGGAAGACCAGAAAGCTGGGGCCAAAGCAGGGCAGGAAACCAGAGTACAATCCTGGAAGGAGAGGGTTGAGAGCTTGCTGTGGGATCCAGACAGGGAAGGTGTGGAGGGAGAGGTCCCGGGCTTTGCTTGCCTTCGATCTCCTCGCCAGTGGATGAGATTTGGTTGAGGAACAAGCTGGCAGTCCCGATTTCTTCCTGGCAGTCCTTTCTGGAGCTGGAGAGACACACACTCTGCAGACTGAGCCCCTGCCCTGGCCTATCTCCTCCTCCCTCATTGCTTACCAGTCTAAGAGTCTGAACTTGATGTAGCTGGAGAGGCAGGGCAGCTGTATGGGAAGGCAAGAAGAGCCATGAGTACATACTGGGGTGGCTTGCATCTGTTTGTTTGTTTTATTGTGCAGAGGGGTTACAGTTATATAAGTCAGGCAATAAGTACATTTCTTTTTGAACAGTGTCATTTCTTCCTTTGTTTTCTCCCAGTTTTTCTTCCCAACCCCCTTCCCCTGTGGACACTTTGAAAGCAGCTAGGAAGTCCTGGGGCCAAGGCTTGCCTGTTACTATTTCATTTTATTGGTGCTAGTACTGGAGCTTGAATTCAGGGTTTAGGTACAGTTCCCTGCTTTTTCTCATATACTTTAACATCTCTGCTTCTCTTTATTTTTCATATAGAGTCTCAAATGTCTGCCTGGGTTGGCTTCTAGTTTATGCTTCCTTTGTAGCTGGGATAACAGGCAGGAATCAACATGCCTGTTTTATTGAGATGGAAGTTTTTTTTCTCAGATTGGCCTCAAACTGCCGTTCTTCAGATCCCCACCTCCAGAGTAGCTGGTATTACAGAATGACCATTTGACCATTTGTTTTCTCTCTCTTTCTTTCTCTCTCTCTCTCCCCTAGTCCTGAGGCTTGAACTCAGGACCTGAGCACTGTCTCTGAGCTTCATTTTGCTCAAGGCTAGAATTCTACCACTTGAACAACAGCACCACTTCTGGCTTTTTCTGTTTATGTGGTACTGAGGAATCAAATCCAGGGCTTCATGCATGCTAGGTAAACATTCTACCACTAAGCCTTATTCCCAGCCCTCCTTTTGTTCTTTAACTGGCCTCCTGTTTTGTATAAACTTTGAGACTGACCCAACTCTGACTGTAGCCTCATTGAACATTATGGCCCTCAAACAGCCCTTCCTTCATAGACTAAATGCTCATTCACTAAACCATATCAGACAAAGGGTGTTTGCTTTTAAATAGCAAGACACCATGGGCTGGGAAGGTGGCTTGGTGGTAGAGTGCTTGCCATGCATGCATGAAGCCCTGGGTTCCATTCCTCAGCACCATATAAGCAGAAAAAGCCAAAAGTGGAGCTATGGCTCAAGTGGCAGAGTGCTAGCCTTGAGCTGAAGGGCTGAGGGACAGCGCCCAGGCCCAGAGTTCATGCCCCAAAATTGACCAAAAAAAAAAAAAAAGACACCTATCTCCTCAAATAGGGTTTCTATTGTCCACAGCCTGTGCTGCACAAGCTCCACAGACTAGATGAAAGCCCAGCAATTCCAGGAGGTAAGTATTAGTATTATCATTATTTTCATTTTCATATGGGAAATCGGAGGCACAGAGAAGTTGCATTTCTGAAGTTCTCATGCACAAGGGCTCAAGTTGTCTTTCAGAAGTTGTTTTTACTTCACACCTCATACTTAGAAACCTGGCATCAGATGAAAAGTTCATTAGGGCTTCACCAGAGCTTTGAGAACTATAATCCAGAGCAGCTGGTGGATGACTGAGAAGGACTGAAAGGTTACAGAGATCAGACCACAGAAACCCCACAGAAAGCACCTTGCAGCCATTTAGTTCAGCACAAACAGACCAGGCTACACAGAGCCCAGTGTGATAGTTATGCTCCCATAATGCATCTTGGCCACCAACTACCAAATACGTGCTGCAATTATATTTAGGGCACTGCTTAGAGCTAAGAAAATATGCAATACAAATTAAAGTGTGTCTTTTAAGGTGGTTTAAAATTTTTTTTTGTTTTTGTTTTGCTGGTAGTACTGGACCTCTAGCTTTCTAGGCAGGCAGGCTCTCTATTACTGAGTTATACCTCCTGGATTTTTTGTTGTTACAGGTTATTTTTGAGATAAGATCTTTCTTCCTGCCTGGGCACCTGCCTGGACTTTGATATACCTATTTTAGGCTTCCTGTTGAAGCTAGGATAACATATGAACCATCACACCCAGCTATTGGTTGGGAAAGGAGTCTCATATATTTTAAAAATATTTTTATTATTATTATTAGGGTCTTGTACAGAAGGGCTACCATTCCATAAGTCAGGTAGTGAGTATGTTTCTTTTTTTGGACAATGTCATCCCCTTCTTTACTTTCCCCCAGTTTTCCCCTTCTCATATATTTTTGTCCCTGAGTTGGCTGGAAACCATGATCCTCCCAATCTCAGCCTCTCAAATAACTAGGATTATAGTGTGAGCCACCAGCACTCAGCAGTTTTCTTTTCTGATGGGTATGATGAAAGAACATATTTACATCCTCTGGAAAGTTCAGTTATATGGATCACTCATCACTTAATACTGGATAAAGTGAAGTTTGATCTTAACATGTTTTTATGCTTGTGTGTATGCGTGTGTGTATGTGTGTGTGTGTGTGTGTGTGTGTGTGTGTGTGTGAATGTGTGTATGCTGGTTCTGGGGCTTGAACTCAGGGTCTAAGTGCTGGCTAGTGTTCTACCACTTGAGCCACAGTTCTACTTCCAGCTTTTTGGTGGTTAGCTGAAGATAAGAGTCTCACAGTTTTTCCTTCTTGGGCTGGCTTTGAACATAATCCTCAGATTTCAGCCTCTTGCGTAGCTAAGACTGCAGGTATGAGCCACTGGTGCTCTGTGTGTTCTTATGTTTAATGCTCCATCTCCCACCTATATCGCCCTCCTTCACAAACACAGACTTTGCTTCCAGAGTGGGGGAAGGGCGGGCATGATAGAACAGTCCTACCTGAATCTGGAAGGTCAGGATCTGGTTCCATATGGGTTTGTCACTTTTTGTCCACGTACGTGTTCTGAGCTGAAAATATCCCAATGTAGAGTCAGTGCCGGTCTGTCTCTTCCTCCTGCCACCAGCTTGGTTTTCCCATCCTCGCTCCCTGTCCAGCCCACAAGGTGGACAATCTCTGTAGTATTCAATTGTCCTTAGACAACTCACCACATCTCCACTCTTTAATTTTTAAATAGATATGACTAGGGCTACTAATTTTATTATATAAATGCTTACACATAGATTTTGTTAGATAAGGTCTAAAATCCTATTAAATAATGGTCAAGGCTGGGCACCCGTGGCTCACACCTGTAATCCTAGCTACTCAAGAGGCTGACATCTAAGGATCACAGTTCAAAGCAGCCTGGGCAGGAAAATCTGTGAGACTCTTATCTCCACCAGAAAAGCAGAAGTGGCGCTGTGGCTCAAGGGTTACAGAGCTAGCCTTGAGCTGAAGAGCCAAGGCCCAGAGTTCAAGCCCCACGATTAAAAAAATAAAAGGTCAAGAACATAATCAATTGCAATAGTATACCCCTTTTAAAACCCACCAACTGACTTAATCTTTAAAACTAGCCTTATTCTAAGCAATGATATCTATGACAGCCAGTGTTGTTTGGACTCGTTAGGACTTTTTTTTTTTTGGCCAGTCATGGGGCTTGAACTCAGGGTCTGGGCACTGTCCCAGGCTTAAGGCTAGCACTCTACCACTTGAGTCACAGCGCCACTCTGGCTTTTTCTGTTTATGTGATACTAAGGAATCAAACCCGAGGCTTCATGCATGCTAGGCAAGCACTCTACAACTGAGCCACTTTCCCAGCCCAGGATTTTTTTTTTGAAGCAGGTACTCAAGTTTTGAACTCAAGACCTGGCACTCACTAAGTAAGTACTTTTACTGCTGAACCATGCCTCCAGTCCTGATTTTTCTTGTTATTTTTGAGATAGGGTCTTACTTTCTGCCTGAGATGTGCTTGGGCATGAGCCATCTATGTTAGGCTTCTTGATAGTTAAGACAACAGGTGAGTGACACCTACTTAGTCCAGGTTTCATTGAGAAAAGGTCTCACAAATTTTTTCAGCCTGGGCTGGCCTTGATCCCATCAATCAGAGCCTCTCAAGTAGCTAAGATTATAGGCATAAACTAATGGCTCCTGGCAGTTAGACTTTTTCAGGCACTAAAAGAAACACAAGAACATTTGTGTGTGTGTGTGTGTCTGTCTGTCTGTCTGTCTGTCTGTCTGTGTGTCTGTGTCTGTGTGTCTGTGTGTGTGTGCATGTGTGTCTGTGTGGTGGGGTGCTGGTACTAAGAACTAACTCAGGAATATACACTCTCAGCTTTCTCACTCATGGCTGACCCTCTACCACTTGAGCCACCCAGCATTTTGCTAGATAATTGGAAGTCCCATAGAATTTTCTGCCTAAACTGGCTGCAAACCACTATTCTCCAGGCCAGAATTATAGACATGCGTAGCTAGAATTATAGACATGAGCCACTGGTATCCAGCTACTACTTTTTCTAGGTGCCATATTCTGTTGGTCTTACTTTTTATACTTACCTTTTCCCCAATTAGTTCCACCTCCAGCACAGGATTCGCTGACTGGTATTTCTCTAAGAAAATAAAAGACTTCTGAGACATCAACAACCCTGTTCCCACCCAGCAGAATGAAGCAATGGCACAACAACTTTAAGCCCCTCTTCTGATTTAGTTTGGCCTCCCCCTCTGGGCAAACTTGTCTTCAGTTAACCCTCTGTCCCTTCTGTGGCAGGATGGTCTTGGGACTCTTGCGTCTAAATCTGGACCTCCAAACCAGGTCAAGGGCATGGGGATTTATTTGAAAGGGTGCTCATGGGAACTTCTTAATACAACTCTTGGAGAATTTCATTCTCACTCTGAGTCCCATCCTGAATCTTCAGGTAATCTCAGAAAGAATGAGGAAGTCGTCAGCAACCCCCCGCCCCCCCCACCAAACCTAGGGCACCCCTGTGTTAGGAACCTTAGAGTTGTGCCCTCCCTGGTCCCCTGACTGACTGAGATGAAGGTCCTCTGCACAGTAGATGAAGAACTGTAAGTAGGCCAGGTTGATAGGGACTGCAGTTGACTTGAAGATCTCCACTTCTGTAGCAGCCATATATGGCAGCTTTTGGTCTACCTGGAGATATCAGAGAGCTGGGTAGGGTTGAGTCAGGGAGAGGTCATGGCCAATGCTACTCACTTTGGCTTCCCCATCTTCCCACTTGGTGCAGGGAGGGTAAACAATCCCACCATGATACAGTGGACAAAGGGAAAAGTGGCCAGACCAATGGCCACTTTGAGAGTCCAGGAAGAACCCCAGGGAAGCAGCCAAGATAGGAAATGTAACTAGGGAATAGGCTCACCAGGGCCTGGTCTCCCACACCGAGGGCACAGATGGTGACTTTCAGGTAGCCTTGTACACCACTGCCAGGCTTATTTGGCTGGCAGAGGCCCAGCCATTTCCTTAAAAGTGTGTGTCCTGGATAGACAGAGAGGCAGTGGGAGATCAGCTGCTAGTCTCCATCATTCTCCCCTGAAACCAGTCTTTACTTCTGCAGAGATGGAAACATTTCCTATATATTCTGGTTCCCAGCCAATGACAGAGAAAAACAAGAGTTACTTCTGCCATTAGGCAACAATACTGTACTCACCAGACTGCCAGTTATTCCTTCTGGCATCTGCAACCCTTCTTTTTACCTTGCTATCTACTGTTGTAACTGGTCTGATGTGGAGACACACATTATAGGGGCAAGCATTTCCCCATCCCCAAATCCAGATCTCAACTTGGTTGTATGTTATGGCCAGGTTATTGTGGAACCCTCCACTTAAATATGTCTTCCTTAGAAGAGTGATTACTAGAGGCTGGGATGTATGGGGAAAAAGTCATAGAAGGGAATAAATCCCTACTGTTCTATAACATAGTAAAGTAACTATGGTTAGCAATAATGGTCGATATCAAACTAGCTAGCAGAGAGGATTTTGAATAAAGAAATGATAAATGTTTGAGGTGATGGTATGTCAAATACTCCTAATATATATGTATGTATATAAATACATAGATGTATACATATATATTCCATAAATATATAAAACTATGAGCTGCCAATTAAAAACTTTTTTTTAATACTAGTCCTGGGGTTTAACCTCAGGGCTTGGGCACTGTCCCTGGTCTGTTTTGCTCAGGGCTAATGCTTTACCCACTTGAGCCACATTTGAATTTCTGGTTTTTTGGTGGTTACATTGGAGATAAGCGTCTCATGGATTTTCCCGCCCAGGCTGGCTTCAAGCCATGATTCTCAGATGTCAGTTACCTGAGTAGCTAGGATTACAGGTGTGAGCTACTGGTGCAGGGATAATAGTTTTTACTTCGTAATAGTGGCCTCAAAGTGGGAATGTGGCCTAGTGGTAGAGTACTTGTCCCTATCATGTATGAAGCCCTAGGTTTGATTCCTCTAGTACCACATAAGCAGAAAAAGCCAGAAGTGGTGCTGTGGCTCAAGTGGTAGAGTGCTAGCCTTGAGCAAATGAAGCTCAGGGACAGTGCCCAGGCCCTGAGTTCAAGCCCTAGCACTGGCAAAAAAGAAAAAGAAAAAGAAATCTAATGTAGGGTTTCAAGAAAATTAGATCCCTATTTTTTCAGAGAAAGATGCTATTATTACAAAGTAAGATACCAAGTACAGAAAAAAAACAACAACAAAACTCAACCTCTGTAATGCTTTCCCCTTTTTGCTGGGGATTCTGAGTTATTTTGATCCCCAATATGATTTTTCTTAGAAGATATATGTATTTACAGCTGTTACCTACCTGGAGAATGGTAGATAAACCCAATATCTGTCTGAAAATGCAAAAGAGGAATGAGGATTCGTTATTTCATAGATCTTCAATTTCCCCTCAAGGCCCATGTGTTTAAAGGTTTGGTCCTCAGCTTGGCACTGTTTGGAGGTACTGGAATCTTGAGGAGGTGGGGCCTAGTGGGAGGTTTTATGTCACTGGGAATATGCCCTCAAAATGGATTATGGTACCACATCTTTCCTCTTTCTCTCCTCTTCTTGGCCATGGACCAGCTATTCTGCTTCACCAAACATTTCTACCATGATGTGCTTCCCCAGGCCCAAAGCAAAGGGTCAATCAATCATTGGCTGAAACCTCTAAAACTGTGAGCCAAAATAAAGCATTTCTCTTTCACAGTTGATTACCTCAGGTTTTTATTTTTCAGTAGTGCAAGTTGACAAACACAGACCTACAGCTAAGATCTGCTATAACAACCACCTCAACTTCGGTGACAATATTTGCTACTAGTGTTTAAGAACTTTTTTTTTCTCCATTCCTAGGGCTTGAACTCAGGGCCTGGGCACTGTCCCTGAATTTCTTTTGGTCAAGGGTAGCACTCTATCACTTGAGCCACAGAGCCACTTCTGGCTTTTCCTGAGTAGTTTACTGGAGATAAGAGTCTCATGGACTGTCCTGCCCCAGCTGGCTTCATACTGTGAGCCTCAGATCTCAGCCTCCTGAGTAGCTAGGATTACAGGTGTGAGCTACCAGGGCCTGGCTTGAGGATTTGCAAGCAGAATTGGTTATCAGATGCTTGAGAGTTTAAGGGAAAGGGAAGAGTAGAGAAAGACTGGTCAATGAGCATCTAGTTAGCATCAAAAATGAGCAAGAATTTTTGATGTGATATTGTACCATAGAGTAAATACAGATGACTTACTATATATTTATTTATGTATAGCTTTTGTTGTTGTTTTATACTGTGTATTTGTAAAAACTAGCAGAAAATATTTCCAATATCTTCGTTGTTAAGAAATCATAAATGGCCGGGCACCGATGGCTCATGTGAGCTGAAGAGCTAAAGGACAGTGCTCAGGCCCAAAGTTCAGGCCCCACAACCGACAAAAATAAAAATATTAAAAATGAATTTTTTCTCCCTTACAAGAAAAGAAACTTTGCAAAGACAAATTTCTATTCTTTGCTTCTGCTTTTTTAAAAATTGTTATTATAAAGGTAATGTACATAAGAGTTACAATTACATAAGTCAGGTCATGAGTACCTTTCTTTTTTTGTTTTTTGTTCCAGTCGTGGGGCCTGAACTCTGGGCCTGGGCGTTGTCTCTCAGCTCTTCAGCTCAAGGCTAGCGCTCTACCACTTGAGCCACAGCACCACTTCCAGCTTTTTACTTTTTGCTTATGTGGTGCTGAGGAATCGAACTCAGGGCCTCAGGCATGCAAGGCAAGCGCTCTACCACTGAGCCACCTTCCCAGCCCATGAGTACATTTCTTTTTGAACAGTGTAATCCCTTCCCTTGCTTTCTCACAGTTTTTCCTTCCCATCCCCTCCCCCACAAATCTATAGTTCATTTTCAACACAGTGTCTAGCAAGTATCACTGCTGCATTTGTTCACCCTTTGTCCCATCGTTTCTGTGTTCCCTCCTTACACTCCCCAAAACAGATAAACAAAAGGTACAGACAAAAGGTACAGAAAACAAAAAGCAACAAAGGAAAAGAAACCCTCTTGTTTCCCATTTCTTGGAGTTCATTTCAATAAATATCATTTCGTATGATCATATGCACGTAATTATAGTGAATGCATGGCTAAAGAAAATGTGGTATATATACACAATGGAATTCTACTCTTCTATCAGAAAAAAGTGATATTGTACCATTTGTAAGGAAATGGAAAGACTTTGAAAAAAATTATATTGAGTGAAGGAAGCCAGGCCCAAAGAAACATAAGCTGTATGGTTTCTGATAAAAGATAAAAATTACACTTGGACATGATAAATTATACAAGTCTCTAGATATTCATACAGTGAGACCAAAGGAGGATATTCTTCGTAGAGGCTCATAAGAGCTCAATAACTTATATGCATAATCATATAAAATGGTATTTATCAAAATGCTTCTGCTTTTTAAAAAAAGTTCTTATAAAATCAACCTCTAGGGCTGGGAAGGTGGCTCAGTGGTAGAGTGCTTGCCTTGCATGCATGAAGCCCTGGGTTCGATTCCTCAGCACCACATAAGCAGAAAAAGTTGGAAATGGCACTGTGGCTCAAGTAGTAGAGTAATAGCCTTGAGCTGAAGAGCTGAGGGATAGTGCCCAGGCCCAGAGTTCAGGCCCCATGACTGGCAAAAAAAAATCCACCTCTATTGCTCAGCCCATAGGATCATTTATTCTATTTTATGGAATGCAATGCTGCCTGTTTTAGAATCCCAAAATAAAGCCAATTAAAATATTTATATTGTTATAGTTATATGCTTTGATAGATTAAAAAAAAGTCTGTTGATTAAAATTTAAAAGTAACTAGGCATCCTGTATTTAATCTAGCAACTTACCTTCTCCTGTGTTTCTGATATATGGAGAATATTGTTATAACTCTGCATGACTGGTTGAATTTTCACCATCTCTCAGCTTCTACCACTTTAGGGGATGCTGTGGCATAAGCTAAGGGTCTCATGCATACTAGGCAAGTATTCTACCCCTTGAGTCACTACCCTAGCCTTTTTCTTCTACCATCTAGTTTTCAAATAGAGCTAACTTTGCCTAGGCTTGCCTCCAACCATAACTCTTATACTTATGTCTTTCCAATAGTTTGAATTACAGGCATGCACAAGTATGCCCAGTTTCAGTCTATGTTTTCCCAAGTTACTTTCTTTTATTCCCATTCTGTCCTCTTTGAGTTTCTCTAACACTTTGGTTGGCCTTTTGGGATCCTCTCTGTTTCCATCTTCTGAAAACAGATTTGAACTGTGTTCAAAATATAATGAGTTTGGATAACTTGACGCCCACTTTAAACACTTTAATCCTCACAATGACCGTGCAGGTTGGGTATATTCCTACTCCCACTTTACAGATGAGGAAATAGGGGCTCAGAATAACTTGTCTAAGTCATCCAACTATGAGGTAGATCCAAATTTGGTTCTTTCTGTGGAAAAATCCAAGTCCTTTCCCCACTCAGGCATGAAGCCCACCACCCTGGGTGCCTACAACTAGTTTATCAGGCTTCTTCTTTTATATGGGGCTTACTTGAAATCTCCCAATCTCTGCTTCGTATCTCTTTGCTGAGGAGTTCAACACCTGCAAGGGAATTCCGAGAAAGATCTTAATTATAATTATCACCCTGGTTCCCCATCCTCTGGTGAGAGCGCTAGCACACAGCCCTCTGTGATTTACTAAATGCTTCCTAGTAACCCTGACTCACGCATACTCTCATACTTTTTCTCATTTACTACTCAGAAGAACCCCGCAAGGCTTGGATTTTTAGTTCCATTTCATTGCTGAGGAAATTGGTCAAACTGGCCAGTTCACTTGCCCCAGATCAACACAACTCAAGGTTTTGGAACCAACTTTCTCCATTACCTACTGTCCTAGTTGTCTCCTCTATGTGTAGGACTCAAGAACATCTAAACACGTCCAGGGTGAGAAGCCTCCTTGTTCTCCTTAGCCCTTTGCTGGTACATAGCAGGACATGCTGACCATTGTGACTAGCACCCTCTAGTTGGGAACTGGAGTGTTCCACTCCAAAGGGCCAGTGGTGACATAAGAATCCTGGAATACAGGAAGGGACTGCTTTGTTCACAACAGCACTGAGCTCTGCCAGCAGAGTTGGCAAATTCTAACATTCATTGAGTGGAAAAAAGGAGTGAATGAATGTGCTATCTGGACTACCAGGGGGTGGAGAAGATGGTCAAAATGATGCCTTCTAAAATGCTCCTGACTCCAAGTGTCGGAGTTGGAGCTGACGTTCTCTTTAACATTGTGGTAGGACAAGAAAGTGGAGCCATTTTGCTGAGGACCAATTGGGCTCCTTACCTGGATTGAGATGATTTCATCAAAGACCTTTGCAGGAACCTCATAGAAATTCTGGAAGAAGATCTGGGGCAGAGAGAATTGAGTATATTTTTCTTCCATTTCATCTAAGGGCCCAGTAAATCTGATGCTTCAGAACTATGTGCTCCATCACCAGCTGTGCCCATTTCAAAGACTTTCAGCTTCTACCACCCTCCCCCTCCCCCATAGCTGACAATTCCTGGACTCCTGGAGGGTTTTTGGTCTATTTATAAGAAAGGTAAAGCCAGGCACTGATGCCTCACGCCTGTAATCCTAGCTACTAAGGAGGCTGAGATCTGAGGATCATGCTTCAAAGCCAGCCTGGACAGGAAAGTCCATAAGACACTTATCTCCAATAAACCACTAGAAAACCAGAAGTGGTGCTGTGGCTCAAGAGGTAGAGTGCTCGCCTTGAGCTGAAGACCTGAGGGAGAGCGCCCAGGCCCAGAGTTCAAGCCCCACAAACAACAACAACAACAAAAGGAATGGTAGGAGATTCCTGGAAAACAGTGGCTGCCCCCAGGATGGCTATTTGGAGCCTTTGCATCCTTCTAGATTGCTTTGCTAGTCCACGCTACCTCTTCTACCTGCAGCGACCAGACCTCCTTTCTCCTCTCACTCTCCTGCTTAAATCCCCCTTCCTGGTATTGCCCATGATAACATCCTATCCAGACACACTTCTAGATACTGTTCTGCCACCAAATCAAGATATTTCTGGCTTCCTGGTCTTTGAAAACAGTTCTTCCTGAATAATCTTTCTCTATCCTATCTTTTCCTATAGAATCTTTCAAAGTATATGGATCCTTTTCTGAGTCCCCCGCACTACCTTTTACTACATTACTCAGTTACTGCTCCTCACTTAGCTCTTTAATAGACTATTCAATGGTTAAAAAAGTAATTTAACAGGTATCTGCACCTTTGTGTGTGTGTGTGTGTGTGTGTGTGTGTGTGTGTGTGTGTGTGCACGTGCATACACCATATTGGGGGTTGAACTCAGGATCTTTTCTGTTCAAGGCTAGCACTCTACCAACTCTCCTACACAAAACACACATCCATTTCCAGTTCTTTGGTGGTGAACTGGAGATCAGAGTCTCTCAGATTTTTCTGCCTGAGCTTCAAACTATGATCCTCAGATCTCAGCCTCCTGGGTAGCTACGATTACAGACATAAGCCACTGGCATTCAGCTATCCTGTGCCTCTTATGTAGCAAACGAAATGCTACAACTTGGAATTCCAGCAGTGATGTACATGCTCTGGGCCTACATTTCAAACTTTATTAGCAATGCTCCCAGGCTTCTATCAGGCCCAGTATGCCTTGTTACTCATGAGTATATGTGTTGTGCCCTCATCAGTCCATTAGCTCCTCAAAGACAAGCTCTGAATTACCCTGCTCTGTATGCCCAGTGCTTGACACTTGGTCCTCAGTTAAGTATTCAATAAATGCTTGTGCACTATCAGATACCCTAGTCAAAAAACAAACTTGTTAGCTGGGCACCAGTGGCTCATGCCTGTAATCCTAGCTACTCAGGAGGCTGAGATCTGAGGATGGTGGTTTGAAGCCAGCCAGGGCAGCAAAAAGTCTATGAGACTCATCTTCAATTACTCACGGGGGAAAGATACTGGATGTAACACTGTAGCTCAAGTGGTAGAGTGCTAGCCTTGAGCAAAAGGAGCTCAGAGGCAGTACCCAGGCCCAGAGTTCAAGCACAAGCACGTTGGTCTGTAGGATCTGTAGGAAATGCCCAACCCCTGGCTAGCCCACATTTCCAGTGCATCCATTCAGCATACCTCATTGAAGAAAGGGTTGTTACCCATCTTGATCCGAGTGTTGAACTGGTGGCCTGCAATGGTAACCTTCACTACTGGCTTGATATTGTTGCCCATGAGCTGTCGGGCTTCAAACACCTTTACCCGAACCTACCGAAAGAAACACACAGGAGACACCACATTGACAGAGGGACCCAGGTCTCCCTCCAAAGGGACTCTTCTCTCAAGATCAAAACTGTCTTGACAAGAAACATTCTAGGTACTGCAGAACTTTTGGAAAGAAGGCAGGGCAAGTTAATAGGACTTGGACATTGGCTGGATGTAGGAAAAGAGGGCAGTCAAGGTTGACTCCCTCCTCCTAGACAAATAGAAGGCTGGAGAATAAACAAAACTAAGGCAGAAAAGCTGCATGCTGGTGGCTCACATCTGTAATCCTAGCTACTCAGGAGGCTGAGATTTAAAGATTAAGTTTCAAGGCCAGCATAGGCAGTCAAATCTGAAAGATTCTTATCTTTAGGTAACCACAAAAACCTGTAAGTGGAGGAATGACTCAACTGGTAAAGTGCCAGCCATGAGCAAAAGTTGAGAGAGAACATGAGGTCCTGAGTTCAAGTCCCAGTACTCTCAAAAGAAATAAAAAGGAAGAAAGAAAAAGAAAACTTAAGAGTAGCGGGTGCCAGTGGCTTATACCTGTAATCCGAGCTACTCAGCAAGCTGAGATTTTAGCATTATGGTTTGAAGCCAGCCTAGCAGGAAAGTCCATAAGACTCTGGTCTCAACTACCAAAAAGCCAAAAGTGGAGCTGTAACTCAAGTGATAGAGTGTCAGCCTTGAGGGGTCAAGCTAAGGGACAACACCTAATCCCTGCATTCAAGCCTCAGTATCAGTAGGAAGGAAGGAAGGAAGGAAGGAAGGAAGGAAGGAAGGAAGGGAGATAGGTTTTAGTTTGATTTGAAAAAATTGTTATTATGAATGTGATGCACACAGAGGTTACTGTTTCATGTCAGGTTATGAGTAGATTTCTTTTCGGACAATGTCACCCCTTGCCTCATTCTCAGTGTTTTTAGTCTGAATTTTGTCAACATTTTTGTTAGAAATTTTGCAGGCTAGGGGTTAAAGGGAAATTGGTAAGGCACAGGCTTTCTGAATTCACATGGAGACCATAGACCTTCCCATGGTTCCTCTAGGCTTCTCCTTTACAGTTATTTTGACCTTATATGTGCTCCTTTGTACTGCCAACAATCCAAGGATTCTGGAAGAGCAAGGTCCATGCCTTCTGCTCTGAAGACTTAGCATTCAGCAGGCCTGCTAGTGTGCAGCCAGATCCTCCTACCCTCACTGGAGCCATGTCTAGCTTTATTTATGTCTCCTAGAGGTGCAGGAGACACAGTTAAGAGCTGAAGCTAAGACTGAAATGCGAAACTTCTGCCATGACTTTCTGGAGGGGAGGAGATGGCACAGGAACCACAGGGAAGGGGTCCGCAGGTCACAGGCTGGGGATTTCTCACCTGAAAGTGCTGAGGCCTAGAGGACAGAGCCCTGTGCATGACGGTGCCAGGGACCATCCATTTCTGCTGGGTGGCCTTTTTTGCAGTCGTGCCTAAGGGGTCTTTGTTACCTGGGGAAACATAGTTCAAAGTGGTTGCAGAGGATGGAGCTTGAAGTTTAAGGTATTTTTCTCCTTTTATTTTTTTTTTTGCCAGTCCTGGGGCTTGAACTCAGGGCCAAGGTACTGTCCCTGAGCTTCTTTTGCTCAAGGCTAGCACTCTATCACCTGAGTCACAGGGCCACTTCTGGCTTTTTCTGTTTATGTGGTACTGAGGAATCAAACCCAGGGCTTTGTGCATGCTGGGCAGGCATTTTACTGCTAATCCACATTCCCAGCCCTTTTTTCCTTTTATTGTTTTGTCCCCAATGACCAGCTCCTCACTAAAACCATGGTCAAGAGGCCCCATAGGGATATATGTCCTCCACTGAACATCCCATGGCACCTCCCACGCTTAATACCTATGAATTCTGGGTCTATTCTTCACACACTGGGGTTTATTAAATGGCTCTCCTGTCTCCCTCTGCATATTGAATACTGGGCCATATATCTACTGATGGTGAGAGAACACACTGGGGAGATGCATGGATCTCCAGCTGTGTGGAGATCTAGCCACGAGACAAACTCTAGCCTGACCATCAGTTATAGGCCTCAAAGATGGGTCTCACAGATCTTAAAGAGTCTATTCAGTTGTATTGGAGAAGCTCCAAAGAAGCACATACCTGTTTTCTCAATATGCTGGGGGGATATATAGGCCACCTTCAGGTTGAGAGTACACTGAAAAACCAAAGCAGAGGAGTTTTAAGCCAGACTTGTAATCCTCATTCAAGTCCTAGTACCTTCCAGCCTGGCTGAGTTCATGCTTGGTGCTTTTAGGGAAGGAGATGTTGGTTATGATCCTGGGCCATATCATAGACACCTATGCAATCTGGGCAGCAGAAAGTCATAAATTGGTGTGGAGCGAAAAATGGCTACTGAGAGAAGGATCTGGAGAATGGAGAAGTCCCATAGTGATGGCAATGGCAGAAGAAGATGCAAGAGGGTGGTGAGGAGAGGAAGAGGTAACTTGAGACCTATCCAGATCCATGGTGTTAATATCTCTTCTCCAAACTTCCTGTAGGAATTGCTAATACCTGCTAACTAACCCCTTTCTCCAGACGACCATTACCACTGCCCCCGAATCCCCTCTTTGTGCCCTTTGTAAATGATCAGAATGAAGTCACAGCTCAGCAGCCTAGATAAGCCTTCATTTCTGACCCCTGGTTACCCATCTAGCTTCAGCTCTCCCATCTTTGTCTTTAACCTCCCCTCCTAGAGAAAATATACAGGCAGCTTGCCCTCCCTGAACCTGCCTCCTCTCCATATAGTTCATGTCCCTGCCTGGCATTGCCTTCTTCTCCTGCCAAGTGGGTAAACCCATGCCCTTCTGAGAGGCTGAATATACAAATGGCTGGAGGACTTTGGAAAGCAGTATGGAGGTTCCTCAAAAGACTTCACATAGAACTCCCCTATGACCCAGCAATCCCACTTTTGGGCATTTACCCAAATGCCTAAAGCTACCAGCACAACTATGTTTATTGCAGCATTATTTACCATAGCTAAGATATGGAACCAACCCAGATGCCCCTCAGTAGATGAATGGATCAAGAAAATGTGGTATATATACACAATGGAATTCTATGCCTCCATCAGAAAGAATGACATTGCCCCATTTGTTAGGAAATGGAAAAACTTGGGAAAAATTATATTAAGTGAAGTAAGCCAGGCCCAAAGAAACATAGGTCCCATGGTTTCCCTTATTTGCAATATCTAGTATATGTATGAGTCAAGCGGAAAAGGTCAGATAATGTGATGTCAGGAAAATGAACCCTTAGATATGTATTTTAATGTTTTTTCTTTCATGCATGTGTTTCTAACGCATTTATAAGATTATCTCTTTGTTGCTTTGTATGTCCCTCCCCCACAGTATAACCCCTGCTTTCACTATATTTGATGTCAGTATAACTTGTGGAGGAGATGGGGAAAAACCAGTTGTTTAAGGATACAGGTGGATCTGATGCAACAATGAGAAGTACAAGTTGTCATGTCCAAAACGAGCTTTACAACGTCGGTGGGGGGGGGGGCGCGGGGGGGGGGGGGGGGGGGGGGAGGAGCAGGGATTGGGATGGGGGGAAGGGGGGAGGCTGGGAAGGGATGGGAAGGGTAAACAAAGGAGGAGGCTGCAATGCTTGGTAAGAAATGTACGCATTATCCTGCCCATGCAATTGTAACCCCTCTGTACAGTATGTTCACAAATAAAATAAAATTAAATTAAAAAAAAACAAATGGCTGGAGGCCAGATTACATATAAAAATAGAACTCTGAGCACAATCTGTGGTAACCAGTCAAAGAAACTAGTCCATTATCTACAGCAAGCAGCCTAGGTAGACAACCATTGCTAAGTCAGACTGGTAAGACAAACTGTAAAGTTGAAGCAGAGGAGTTGAAAGCTAGACCTGCAACCCTTGGCTAAGTCATAGCACCAGAGCCCCTTCCAGCCTGGTTAGGTTTATGCCCAGTTCTTGTAGGGAAAGTAATGGTGTAGCCAGTACACCATGGGCTATGTCTAACAATAATCCAGGAAGCCAAACCATAAGAAGAAGCCCTCAATTTGTGGCAGCTGTCAGCTCTCCTGATTTTTTCCCCATTTCCAATTTAGGAATAATAATTCATCCTGAATCAATGATATAGGATGCTGGGCTTCTACTTAAGCTGTCTTTATTTTCTCCCATGTCAACAGGCCCAATCAGGGCACATTTCACATTGTCTTTTTCCCACTGCCAAGCTTTCCTGCTCCTTTGCCTGACTTTGAGTCTCTGTTAATACTGGATCTTATATCCCAGGGCCAAGGTGACAGCAGCTGACTCCAGGGAAAAGCCAATTCATCCTTCTCAATAAATGGATGGAAGAGTGGATGGGAAATGAACAAAATGGAAGAATCATAGAATAATGGCGGAAGGATGGCAGGAAGCACTCATTTAGAATGGGGCATTGTCCCACCCCCTCTGCTGGTAAAGCTCAACTACATTAGCAACCTGCATTCCTCCAGCCTTGCCTGGCCCTGACTCACGTTTGTTGGCTCCATAGAATGATTGAGCAGGACCAGGTTCTTCAGAAAAAGGATCCTATTTGGTTGTTTCATCAATGGCTTAAGCAGTACTGTAGCCAGGCCGATGAACCTGAGGGGGTGAAGAGTAGCTGTGAGATTCTAGTGAAGGTAATGGGTGACCTTCTTTATCCCAGGTATGCTAAAGAACAGAGGCAGAGCACCCACTAGAAGGCTCAGGGATCTCCACTCCGTGCAAAATTGCCTGGGAGAATCCCAATAGCTGATTGGACCAGGTGAGGTCACCTGACCCAGACTGGGCCAATCAAATTCTCCATCCTGGAAATGTCGACCTGGTTGGCTATATCTTCAGTCTCTACAAGATATTAATCTTGGCTCTGCACTAGAATGGTGTCTAGTGATAGGGAGCTAGGATTCAGTCAGTAGAGAGGAACAGAGATTTGAGATGGATAGAAATGCTGCTAGCTTCAAACCTCCATCCTCAGATCTCAGTCTCCTAAGTAGCTAGATTACAACATGAGTCACTGGCGCCCAGTCTGCTGGAGTTAAGACTCTTCTATATCTCTCTGCCTCACCTTTCTTTCTTCATTGAGCCCATGTCCTGAAGAATGACTTGTAGAAAGGAGTCATTTTCCAACGGGCGATTCCAGAGGTGCCAGATTAGGGTCTGTGTGGAAGTATGGAAAAATTAGCATTTTTTCTTCTTTTTTCATCCTATCATTCTGGCAAATGAATTAAAGTCTAGAGAGTGGGCTGGCATTGTGTTTATTCAAAACTCAGAACCTAACCTCGTGTCTAATTTCCCCAGGAATGGTATTAACTACCTTGCCTGAGGGGTTGGTGTACCACCTGGGTTGAACTGTGTGGGTGTATTAGGAGTTAAGGGAGCAGGACAGTAAGTATGCGCAAAAGATAAGAGGGAATTCTGCACAGGGGACTATGTGTCTTCTTCATTCAGGCTTCATCAGAATGGCCAGGTTGGATTAGTTGGGCTATACTGTAGTCTATTCCCAGAGGTGAGGGAGTAAGTCTAAGAATAGCTGTGGAAAGGTGTGGCTTATGCAACTTTTTCAGATTAGGAACAACTCTTAGGCCACGGTTCCCCAGCCTTGAGAAACGCTGGTGAAGCTCCCTTATGCTCCTAGACCTCAGAGCATCTGCCCGATCCCTTGCTGTTGTGGTTATCCCTTCATCTTCTAGGCCTGTGCTGGTTTGTCTACCTCATTCCAAATGGGGTTATTCCCTTCCGCCATTTGAGTTCTCTTCTTGACATCTGCAAAGACAGCAAAAGCCTGGCATTGGTGCTAGGAAGTATTTAAACATCTGAGTTTGAATGGGGGTCAAGAAAGGCAAAAGACTTAGATACTAAGTCCAGATTGGCAGGTGTTATTTTGCATTGACTGTGTCCTTCTCTGGGAATTTCAGTTTTTCTCACTTTTTATCACCCTCTGTGGAAGATAATATTCTGTGTTTCCCCCCCACCTCTCTCTTCAGTTGTGGGGCTTGAACTCTGGGCCTGGGTGCTGTCCCTGAGCTCTTCAGCTCAAGGCTAGCACTCTATCACTTGAGCCACAGCGCCACTCCACTTTTCTGAGTGGTTGATTGGAAATAAGAGTCTCACAGACTTTCCCTGCCTGGGATGGCTTTGAGCCTTGATCCTCAGATCTCAGCTTCCTGAGTAGCTAGCATTACAGGTGTGAGCCACGGGCTCCCTGCTTTCATTTTCTTCCTCAGTACTCACAACATCTTGAAGCCAAGTCAGACTGTGTGATCCATTCTGGCCAATGGTGTATAGAAATGATAGTTGCCACTGCTAAACTCCTCATAAGTCTCCATTCTCTTCCTCTCCTCTCCTCATACCCACACACTCATGACCTGCTCACAGGATGACACCAGGTGACTTCTCAGCCACAAACAAGAAAGCAACGGATCCCTAAGCTATTTGGAGGAGCCACACAGATCTTTCAGACCAGAGTAATCCATGCAGAGCTGTATGAGCAAAAGGTCAACTTTTACTGTTAAACTTCTAAGACTTAAGGTGTATTTATAACCAGGGCTAAGCCTTTTATACCTTAAGACACCTTGAAACATCTCTCATAGGTTGAAAGTTCTTCACTCTCTAAAAATCCCCCTACCCAGAAACACATTTAACAGATGACAGTTTCACCCTGCAAAATATTTTCTTTAAAGATTATTCTGTGTGTAGTCTGGGGGTTTGAACTCAGGATCTTGTGTTTGCCGAGCAGGTGTTCTACAACTTGAGCTACTCCTTCAAAATAGTGTGTGTGTGTGTGTGTGTGTGTGTGTGTGTGTGTATGCTGGTACTAGAACTTGAACTCAGGGCTTGGGCACTGTCCCTTAGCTTTATTTCATTCAAGGTTGGCACTTGACCCACTTGAGCCACTGTTTCATTTCCAGAGAGAAGAGTCTCATGGGCTTTCCTGCATGGGCTGACTGTGAATCAAGATCCTCAGGTTTCAGCCTTGTGAGGAATTAGGATTATAGGATTATAAGCCACTTAGAGCCTGGCTAAGCAAAATAATTTTTAAGTTGCTCATTTGCTTTGAGCTTTTCCAAAGGGAAAGAAAGTGTGTGTGTGTGTGTG